CCTTGCCCATGTTCGTTAACTTGTTTTACATCAGCCCACTCTTCCTACCCCGGATAATAGACTACTTCCCCGCTACAGCTTTAGTGCAGACACACTGGGATGCCGCCTTGTTGAGTTCCACTTGGATTTCTTGTTCAACCTACCACCATTTCACCTTTTTAAAAATCCTAACACTTTAATCTCCAGTTCCTGTTTTAGCAGAAGTTTCTGGACTACAATCTGCATGTCTTTTCTGCAGAGTCTCTTTATTTCAATTAAAAAATACCTTCTTGTTCAAGCACTAGTCGGGATTTCAGCACGTCTATGAAATTAGCTTTTCTCGCCAGTCCTTTTCTTCCCAACTGCCTGAAGAAGGGATCTCTTTAGTTGCATAATTAGGCATACAACCGATAGAAGATGTGTCATGTGGCCTCCAACCCCAACAAATCCTGAATGATTATAAAACACAGAACGTTTGGGATGTGGGCATGAATCAGCAACTTACTATACAAGCTATTTGCACGACAAATATTCAGGAAGCACTCTTCCTGGAAGAAGTGAAGATGTCTAGTTTCTACCCCTAAATTCTATTCCCAGAATATTTAATATTTTGGGGGTGTAGGTTGTAGCTGTGTTGGTCTAAGGACATAGGCAGACAAGGCTCTTTGAGCAAATGTGATCTCTTTTCTGCTTGAAAGCTTGTAAAGAATGATTTTTCCAACTATTCAGTTGGTCTAATAAAAGACATCACATTTACCCCCAAAAACCTTGTTTGCCTAATATTTAAGGCATTTTAGTACAGCTTCAGGAACCTGCTCCAAACGCATGTATCACTGCACCCTCGCCATTGAGCCAGCTATGAATGAGCACCTGGTCATGCAGCCTAGGCAGTCAAAGACAGGTACTGTCCCTTCATGGCATCGGATGTAGTCAGCCCTCTGATTATGAAAGCTAATTCTATACATCTTGGATTTAGTTAGTCTATAAGGTGCAAGTCTATTCTGCCTTAGGCAGTCAAAGACAGCCAGGCAAGATGCTAGCCACAATGTGACCTTGTGGGCAGTTGGCACAGAAAAATAATCTTAATTATGCGACCCCCAACAGGCCATTTAGGTTAGGCCTAGGGCAGATCTCAGACTTTTGCCTCTCTCTACCCAAAGCCTGCAGGACATTGGCCAAATCACTTATCTTCTGTGCCTACATCTATCCATCTACAAAATGGGTGCAAGTATTACTTTCCTACTTCCCAAGCTTATAGAAAGTCACTGCAACAGATGGAGCATCAAGAAACTGCCCCTAGCTTCCCATCTTTCTCCTCCCCTTCCCACCACCAGAAAAAGGGAAGGAAGAAAAGGGTGAAGGAGAATTAAAAACAATTCTTTTCTGGTCTGGAATGTAATTTAAATGCAGGGACAATTAATTTTATGAATAAACCTGACTTTGAAAATATGTTTTTAATTAAAAAATCTGAATGAAAACTGACCTTGACCTCTTTTTCTTTCATGCCCTCAAACACGGGGACTTGAGGACCATACGAGATGGCGACAGGCATTTCCAAATCTGCACAAAGTGTGAATGCACCATGAATAGTATCCACAGAATGCCTGAAAGATCATGTCAGCTGATCCTGGCTGCTTGTTCGTTTGAAGGCAATTCCAACTATCTGCGATCAAGATGATAATGTTCAGGATAAACAGCTTGGCACAAGACTTCACTCTAAGGCAGAATCCCAGTGTATGCATAAACAATACTCGGGCATATGGTAACTTCAGATGAGCTTAATTTCTCACCATCACTCTGCTTATGCACAGGCATGAAGTGTTTGGGGCAGAGTGTTTCCAGGCAGAATCCTGAAGCCGTCTAAGCAAACTGCATTTCTAGGGCCTCTGCTCTATAAGCCACACTCCCACCCTCACTGACAGCAATGAGAATTTTGCCATGGACTTCAACAGGAACAGAAACAGGCACATTTAGAACAGGCTTTCACAAAATACCTATGTAAAAAGCAACTTCATGTTGACCATCCATGTGTCATGAGAGGTATCTATTCAGCTGACTCTCCATTTAGAGTATCCCTTTCACAGAGCACACCACCAAAGGCTTTGCTCAAGTACCAAGGCAGAACGTACGTCAAAACACATCTCCCCATCGGAAAAGAATGAATGACAGGAATGATGCATCTTCCTTATCTTCTAGAAACAAAGACCGGGAAAAACAAAAGTTTGTAACTCATTCTCACTCTTCTTAAGAGAAACTGAAATGTGATCTCCTTTGAAGAGGAGGAAGAAAGGAATGAACAAAATGAGGGAGAACAGCTTTTTTAACGTCACGCTACCATTAAGCAACACAAATGTTTGCTTATGTGGCAAAGCAAAGTCATTCCTGTTATTGCTCAGGTGACGCTTGGGTTGCTAATGCAGGTGCAGACTCCACGACTATGGAAATCGATTCTGCTGCCAAACCCTAGAGCTGCCTGACACTAACCCACTATGTGACCTGTTGCAAGTCACTTCAACAAGGGGTAAGAACAGGTATTTCACTTAAGAGTTGCAGATGAATGCTGTGTTAATTATGAAAGATAGAGTCTTAGCTATGTTTTTAGTTAGGAAAATTTGACTTTTAGGTTATATACAGCTGGGCAAACATGGGGGCTTTTTTGTTTGTGAGTGAAATGAAAATTAAGCGCAGGGGAAGTAAGAGATGCTTTGGCTTGAGGCAAACTGAAAGTTTCTTGGAATTTTGGCTGAAACCTAAAGAGATGTGTTTCATTTGATTTTAAGGATATTTACCTTCTTTTACAACCCTTTAAAGTTGATTTTAAAATACTGTAATGAAATATATTGATGTTGTTTTTAGAAATTGACACATTTAATTTTTTTTTAGATTAAATTACTAAATTGGATCTGGCTTCACAAAGTTGCAGTCACTTACAAATCACTTCTTTTCCCCCCTTTTTTTTGGGGGGGGGAGGGAGGAGGGGAGGCAAATTTACTGTTTAAGAAAAAAAACAGTCAGTTTTAATCACATGGTTTTGTTCCACTCTGAACTCCTAAAAGTCCTGTAAACTTTACAAAAGTAAAGTGTTGGCATCCATTTCAGACCAGGTGGAAACAGAGCTGTACAGTACACAAGTCCAGAGCTGGTAACTGGAAAAAAATATTGTGCTACTTCTGTTCCCATCTTTATCACTTGCGCTGCAAGCAACAGATTACTGGACATGACATTGATTTTTTTAGTACTGGCAGAAGTTACTTTAGCAGCTGCACTCGTAATTACAGTAGTAACTATGTCCTATGAATCGCATTCCTCCTGCAGTCCCCTGCCCAAGAACTGTCCTCACTTTCATCTTCACTACTTAAACTGTCAGACTTGAAAGCCCTCATAGCCACTAAGGCAAGTTTAGTGCAGTCACTTTCTCTTTCTGTGGGTGATGGCCCTTGTTTTCAGGGAAACTAAAGATCCTAGCCTGCTTTCCTGAGAACTGCTAGATCAAAACTAATCAAGCGTGAAAAATAACATACAATTCTTTTCGGAAGGGGTGGGACTCAAATCAGCAAATACTGGTAATCACTTTTTGTCCAGGGCTTGTTAAATATTAAGGTTTTGGCTATGTTCACTGCTTCTGTGTTGGCCAACGGAAAAAATTTCAAACAACCATACTTCATTCATTCAAATCATTGTAGAAAATGCGTTTTGTTTGTTGACCTCAATATGTGCAACTGTGAACTTTAAAACTGTTCTAGGAATGCAATCAGACTTCCTACCCCTCATTTACCCAGTTTTGCGTTGTTGCCCAAGTTCTTCGGTTGTCTTCATTAAGAACCAAATTCTAGTAAGCTCCTCAAGCCTTTTACTGCCAACTTAATTTTGTATATTCAAATTTGGCTATTTGAGTTTATCACAAAGACTTTGTAACGGCCCAAAGAAATCAGAGCCAGATTTTTTTTGGTTTGTTTTCACTATTTTGTTGACACCATTGGAATTTTGGTAAATTAGAGGTACAAGCTGATGTGCTTAAATGGCCAGTCTTTTGCATAGGTTAAATACACAACTCAGTAGCAGCTTCTGGACGTGAGGAAATGCAGTGCTAAAATAAAAATCTGGCAACTACTGAAGAATGAATTTGCTCAAAATGATGATTTTAACTACAAGAACAGACTGAATTCTACCCTTAACTGCCCAACACAATTTTTCATGTTTTACAAAGAAACGTTTTCTTTGAAAATATGTACCTTTTTATTAATAGATTGAAATATTTCTTTAAGAATATGAACATTTTTTGCTCTTCTGCAATCCCCCACACAACTGCTCTGGACAAGGGATGCTAAAGAATTAAATCAACATACCTCAGGCTGAATCAAATGCAAAATAAAACGATTGGAAGACCTGAAGTCTCTGTCACAAAGTCTTTAAGCCCAGACTAGTTATATTTCTAAAAGATTGCCATGTATCATAGAAAAGAGATGGGTCTGATGCAGAAACTAGTGGGTGTAATGGTGCGACTGGTTTGTGCAGATTATCCCGGACAATTGTGGTAGTCCTTAAAGCTTTCTTTTTTTAACATCACCAATAAAAGTGTGATAGATTATTCTGATATCACACACTTAATAACTAAATCTATGAATAAACATCTTGCATTTAAACTACTTCCTACTTTTTTATCATTGCAATGTTAACTGCATGACTTTCAACAAAGAAATATGAACGTGGATCCCAGGCAAAACTAAGAGGATGGGTGTATGTAAAGCAAGAGGAAGAACATTTTTTTGAATAGAAGCTAGCTACAAAAACATATATGATGCGCTAGAAGCTGAGCTACAATTGGCTACAGAAAGAAACTACTTGTTAACTTTTGTATGGAAAAATGTTTGGTCTATGATCTTTGCTATAGAAAAGGGACTGGTCTACAATCATTGCATGATCCTTTGTGCTAAAAAAACAACTCTTTCAGAACAAAGACATATGTGTATTTGGCACCTAATAGTTAAGACGGACTTGACTGCCAAAGAAACATTATAGGACAAACCAAATAAATATTCTTAAGAAATCCCTGCACAAAAAGTGCAATGTACCTTCCATCTGCCAAGTAAAATCTGCAGTACACAGACTGTATTTAGAATAATCAGTTCTGCAGAAATAAACTAAAGTATATTTGCATATAGACAAACAACATTTTAGACTCCATTTGAGAAGTGACATACAGGTTACAGTAGATCACCGATGCATTGTTCGAGCTTGGAAAAAATTGCTGGTACTCGATTTCTTCCTTTTTCCTGTTGAGGTCAGATGTTCCTGCATTATTATCCCTGATATACAAATAAAAAGGCAACATCCAATCTACATTAAAAAACTTGGGGGACCCATAACACAGCAGCCAGAGGCAGCATGAGTTGCATATTAAAGAGAATGAATGGGAGCAGCCTAAGACTGAGAAGCTAGTATGTATGACACTATCGCTTTATGCTGTATATTCAGTCCAGCATCGCTGAGTAACAGAAAACTGGATCTCTCTCCTGGTGGCAAGCTGAGATGCTATTATGCAAGGCACACCAAATCATGCTCTGACACTGGAGTTAGAGACCGCCTTGCTCCGGGTTTGGCAAGGCGTGGCAGAAGTACTGCAAACCCTGCACAAAATCCAACAGTACAGTGCCCATGTCCCAGTAAAGCGATTGCTAAACCTCAGTTCGCACTCTTGTTAGATTGTGAAGACCCAGGTACACTTAATACACTTTACAGAGCCATGTGCTCACAGGAAACATTATCACAAGTATACACTAGCAAAAGCAATATGAGGAAGTAACTTTTTTGTTGCAATCTTTGGTGTAAAATGGAAACTTTCTGCACATTATATTGCAAAAAGCAGTTTCTTGGCTAGCCCCTACCATTAAAGAGCTGTTTTACCTGTTGTTTTGGGGTTACATGTATTTAATAATAGTTTGCATTAATAAATCTTTCCACCCCATGGTCTCAAAATACTCCACATGCATTACTGAATTATCTTTGCCACTCCCCTGGGCAGTTGTTATCCCATTTCACATCTGGGGGAAAATGAGGCACAGAGCTTAACTTTCCCCTAAGGGTAAATAGGAAGCCTGTGATAGAATAAAAAATAGGACTGACCTGAAACGATCCTTCCTGTTACTCTTGTGCGCAAGATGACTCCAAATTTGTATCAGATTTTATTATTTTTGCACTAGATGGATTTTCATTTTGCTTTCTTTATATAGCAGAGAGTAAAGCCTTTTCATAGACTTTTCAGAGTAAAGTTTAATTTCCTGACTCAATTCCTTTCTATTCCACTACTCGGGCTCAGTATGCTCTCCACTATGAGTACACTCATTTTTCTTGATTCAGCCCATGATTCTGCTCATGCACTGAATAGTTGTTTGGAAGACAACAACAAGCTGGTCCATTATCGGTTGCAGTGTTATTTTTATATGGATATTTCTATGCTGCTTGTTTCTTTGAACTAGCAAAAAATTGCCACGACACAACTTGGTTTGTACTGCTGTGAACAAGCTCCTCTGTCACTTCTTGTCTGAGTTTCCCCGTTTATATTAGCTATTACTCCAAACATAATTTTTTTAACATAGTTTGGAATACTAGAGATCTGGTTATGCAGCCAGTGTTTGTAAACAACTTGCAATGAAATCAAAGGGAATTGTTCATGTACAACTACCACCATGTATCTGCAGGTCCCAGGAGTCTTAGGACTAATATAACTCAGGTCATTTTATTTATTACAAAACACAATTCTGGACAAAGCACCAAATCAGAACAAACCTGAAGCTTGGATCTAGATCTAATCTTTCTCACTCCTGCGTAACCTAGGATAGACACAAGGGTGAAAGCCATTAACACTAGCCTCCAGCCATCCGCCTCCCTACCCCTTCCCTTTTTTCTTCTTCCAAAAGATTTTAAGCACTGGACTTTTAAGAGGCCAGGAGACCTGAACTCACTGCTGCAGGCACAGTAAAGATCTATTTTGTTTAAGCAGCAACTGAAAGCACACATACTTCACAAAATTAAAGAAACAAGGAGTGCGCTCGAGAGTTTTGGAGCACAGCAGGGGAAACCAGGCTGCTAGAATCAATTTTTAGACATTAATTAGTATTTGTTATCCTCTGCCCATGTAGTTACTGACAGATTCCTCTGTAGCTAAGGGAAAATACAATAATATGGGCAATCATACAGATGAAGTAGAGGCACAGGTTACACACTAGGTGAAATGTTTATCAGCAAAGACTCTTGCGCCCACAGTATTAACTGTTCACTGTATTTGGAAAACAATGGCATACCAATAGAAATTTTGGAGTATTTTCACCTTCCCACAGAAAATAAATTAATTATTGGCTCAACTTCCTATCATTACTATACAAGGACTCTGGTCACTCCCCATGCTTAGTTTCTCTAAACCTGCAAGATCCCATAAAACTCATAAGAAAGCAATACTTTGAGGTTGATAACAATATATCTAACATAAGATGGATCTGGCAAGCATATTCAGGGAAATGCCTAAGGAAATAGCCCTGTTAAGGTGGTATTTTGTAATCACTTGAAATAAACACTATCTTTCCACATTACGAAGAGAACAAAATTGTGTCTTTATTAATTTAAACAATATAATCACGTCTATGTTATTTTAAGTCTTCTCTTCTGTTGTAAAAGCGATCAATACCGCACAAACCACGTTACAGTGATGACACAAAAATGCAGTTTGTTTACAAAACTGTATCTACCCACGACAATCATCTGAAATGCATTAACAGTTGTGAAGCGTGGCTCTCGTGTTTGGGCGCTTTTTCTCTGCTGGGAGAAACAATGCCAAATCCATAAATATGTACTCCGATTTTCAACTTATGGAGGATTGGGGGGGGGAGCTAATATATATATATATATATATTAGTTTGTCCACCCCCCATAGATATATTGATTCCTAGATAGATAAACAAATAAAAACGGAAACATTTCCATGTGTATTTTCTTCAAAATATTGGTGTGATCTCACCTACAGAGGATGTATATGTATCATTCATTTTAAGAAGCATTTTTTTAATGTTATACAAGCGAACAAAAACAAAGCTAAACTTTATTGCACAAGTCTTTCATTTGGATGAAAGTGAAGGAAAAATATTTATATTACTCAGACATTTTTTTTACAATACAACTCTACTTAAGGCCGTTACACTTATTCCCACGGTAAACGCGACTTTCCAGAGGCTTTCAGCTCCACTGTTCACACTCAATCCAGGCCAAAATTGTGCATTTGTTTTTTTTTACAGAGCTAGTTTTGCCTGCACGTGAAAAGGACGTGCTACTTTTAAACTAAAATTCACTCGCGTACCCAGGAACCCTAAAAATGTTTTACAAACATTACTTTTTATTTATGTCTTTTGCCAATTTACTTAATTTTGGTCTCAGTGGAACATGCAGCAGAAGTAAATAAAAATGACCCATCCAAGGGTCAGACGGAGTCAGAAGCAGGGCCAAAATAAGAAGTCAGGTGTCCAGGCTCTGATCTACTGTTTAGAAGACGAGACCATCTGTAGGAAACGAGCAAAAATCTTTTTGATCGCCTTCGAGACACTTCTGCTACCAATTATCAATTGACTGTTGGGGGGGGGGGAGGGAGGGGGGTTAAGTAGTTTTCACCATAACTTGGATCCCACTTCTCCCAGGAAACGTACGTGGCGGTCACCACTGAAGTGCCTCACCCTGCTCTCGCTCACCTTTTTGCACGCCCACGCACAACGAAGCGCTAGAGGCCGCGACCTTGCTGCCCCCCCCCCCGGGGACACAGCCCGGCGCGGACCGGCCGGACGCGAGCCTCGGACCCTGCCACACGGCCAGCACGGAGGACACCTCAGACTAGATCACCTCAGAGTAGGTCGCCCAAGGGAGGTCACCTTGGAGTAGATCACCTCAGGGAGGTCACCTCAGACTAGGTCACCTGAGGGAGGTCACCGCAGAGTAGATCACCTCAAGGAGGGCACCTCAGAGTAGATCACCTCAGAGTAGATCGCCTGAGGGAGGTCACCTTGGAGTAGATCACCTCAGGGAGGTCACCTCAGACTAGATCACCTCAAGGAGGCCACCTCAGACTAGATCACCCGAGGGAGGTCACCTCAGAGTAGATCACTTCAGGGAGGTCACCTCAGAGAGGTCACCCCAGAGTAGATCGCCCAGCCCCTTGGGACACTGCCCCTTCATAGGCCAGGAGGGAGATCACCTCAGGGGTGATCCCCTCCCCCCCCTCCC